TTTTGGATCGTTGCAATAATATGTGATTCCAGAATGAACTACAGTCTGATTGACGGTTTTCATCCGTGGAGCTTCATGTAGTATTAGTAATAATTGCATACATACATTTTTTCGCAATAGTGCAAAGATATTAATATTATGGTTTATTCCAGACATTGAGTAAGATTTTGGATTCGTTTGGAGCAGTGGAAAGTTATGAGATTGGTGAATGAATTGCAGTTTAAAATATCTCATGATATGGAAAACTTTACGATTTCGTCCGTTGTGGATGTTCTGTGTCTTTAGTCGCGCTTTTTGAAGACATCAAACCATAAAGTTATCCAAACCATGCGAAAAATTGTGCACACTCATGGGTGAAAGGGTAAAAATAATCGTTAACGATTCTATATCAGGATAAAAAATGCTATTGTCCTTATATCGAATATTGTCCCGACTCGAAAATAAACGCGCATGTTGCGTCATACTTTGTAAGTGCAAGCGGTAGTGTCTGCTAGACTTTAGAACTTCAGGAGTGCATGGTAGTTTCTGCTAGACTTCCGAACTTTAGAAGTGCAATTAAGGTAGTGTGTGCTACACTTTAAGACTTTAGAAGTGCATGGTAGTTTCTGCCAAACTATCAACCTACAGAAGTGCCTAGCAGTGTGCTAGAGTTTCAAACCCTAGAAAATCATGGAAGTCTCTGCGATTTCGAAGCAAGATATGGTGCAGTCTGTACGCCTGTCGTACGCGTCAGCCACGAGCGTCCAGAGCGCACATGATGACAACAAATATATTTCTGTAAAAAATTATGAGACATTTTCCCTCTCTGTGAGTCTTAAGTAATGAAGAAGTTTATTATTTTATTATACCCACAGAATTTCTCTACTAATAAAACAAATTTATTGGATCCTTTCTTTACAAGCGATGAACGTGTGAGCAATGCATTACTCACTTGAATATTTCGCTTTCAGCAAAAATATGCTATACATACGGAAGTTTTTCAAGTTATAAAGACCTTGAAAATGAATTAAAGCGGCAAATAGTATGAATAATTTTATGTTCTTTCTGAATGTAAATGTTAAGTGTTTTCTCCCACGTACTGGCAAACGCATCAGAAATCGGCCTGATATGGTAGTTGGCCTCGACTTAGCTGGCCTCTAAAAAAGGGTCTTCACTTGAAGTTCCTCGATGTAGATAGAGGAATAATAATGGCGGTGTTGAACCACGGATAAACCGAGCACTGTATATACTGGCAAAAGCATGACGCGATGACGCGATAGCTTGGCAGACATGTCCGATGTGCGGACGTATGAAGGATGCTCTGTCATCGAGTACCGCTCCTGTGCGACCATGTTTCCCTGTATTTGCTGAGATCCTATCGCCTATCAAGGAGTTTATCTTCAAGCGATGAGCGCACAGCATTGTTACCGCTCACGAAAAGGCCTCCTTGAGGCCTAAGCAACAATAAACTTTCTTCTTCCGCTGGCGAAGCAAACTCGCGAAATAATGGTGAGCAACCGCAACTCTGAACGAACATGTCACCAAAGTTGCTGACATACATAGCCCGGCAGATCACCTCTGGTCGCATAGTTTTATCACTGTATTTCTGAAAAAAGTATTAATATTAACGTTCTATAGCTGTTGTCCTATTCACATACCATTTTAACCTTAAAGGTAAGAATTTGTCGAATCAAACTCTGAAACACTGAGTGATAACATTCGACAACGAAATTGCGAAGCACGACGTGGCTTGAGGAATCAGATTCCTGGTATTTGAACTAACAGTGAAATTTACTGTTTTACCGACGTAGACCACCACTTATGCAGCGTTGGAGTCGCCACTTCCTGTAAAAATTGCACATCCGGTATCCGCTTGAAATACCAACTTATACCACGATAACTTTCCCAATGACGATGGAAATTGTTACTTCATCAATATGAATCTTATGTTTGACTTCATTCAAAATAGTGAACATCAATCCTCATAATGAAGAGTGCAGTGCAACGTAATTTTAAATCAGCTACATTTATTACATAGAATTTAAATAAAATCTCACAATAATAGGAAAGTTGGAGAAATTATTTAAATTGAAGTGATAAAAATCAACGATGTCGAGGATAACTGGTATAAAATCTAGACGTCTAATTGACCTAACAGTTACAATTAAGCGTCATTTGGTTGTGGGATACTACAACGTATTAGGCTTCCCCTATTCATTGACGGGTAATAAACTGGTGCCTGAATAGCACTAATGATAACGGCATATAGGTACAACCTTGGTTTCATGACGCCATATTGCAGTTTAACTGTAGGATGGATGGACTGCCAGGCAGACGGTAATGACGTCACTCAAGGTTGTGCATTTCAAGACCTTCATGTGTTTAGATTTTGATAAGATTTCATTGTGTGTCTTCACTTACTGTGAACAATACTGAACGTGCAGAGACAAAACACACAATGTTTAAGAAGTAACTCACAATGTTTAATAATGTATCGATGATCCCGGTAGGGTAGGATAACGCGAAAGCCATTTCTTAACTCCTGATATAATTTCATGTTCATTATTGCACTTTAATTATTTACTAGTACAACTGAATCATCATCACCACATTTCAGCAAGTTTCGAAACGTTTTTCATCCTAATTTGCGTTTCTTCAAGTTGTGTTTCCTCTAGTCAACCGGTTCGTATAGTGAATTTGATAAAAATTATACAGTTGAGTCTGGTGAAATTTTTTTCCAGTCAAAAATAGTAGCCTCACAAATAAAAAGTTTAAGGAAATAAGTCGTGTGCTTTGAATCAACATTATTTCCAGTACTACCGCGACTGAAGCCGTGACTGCTAATGGACTTCCCCCACCTGCCATTGTCGGGGACTTGTGAATTCATGACTGCTGGTGGACTTTCCTTCCCTGCAATAGTCGGGGACTGTTGTAGCTGTGACTGCTGGTGGACTTTCCTAACCTGCAATAGTCGAGGACTGTAGTGGCCTTGACTGCTGGTGGACTTTCCTAACCTGCAATAGTCGAGGACTGTAGTGGCCGTGACTGCTGGTGGACTTTCCTCACTCGCACTAGTCGAGGACTGTAGTGGCCTTGACTGCTGGTGGACTTTCCTAACCTGCAATAGTCGAGGACTGTAGTGGCCGTGACTGCTGGTGGACTTTCCTCACTCGCAGTGGTCGGGGACTGTAGAGGCCGTGACTGCTGGTGGACTTTCCTCACTCGCAGTGGTCGGGGACTGTAGAGACCGTGACTGCTGGTGGACTTTCCTCACTCGCAATGCTCGCAGAGTTGTGGCCTCTCAATATTTGTATGCTAATGTAGACCGATGTCAGAAAACCGTTTTCCCTAACAATGTCCGAGCTTGGCATTGAGATGTCATTCACCCTTGTATATCATTCAAGTAGATCATATCTCTATCGTAGAAACTAAGATCAATCTACTATTGTACTAATAACTAAGTTTTTTAATTGTTTGATCGATGAAATCAAACTCTATGAGTATATTTTGTACTAAAGTGTATTATTCTTATAAATATTTGCGCCTTGCTATATTTTTAACTACGTTCATCTTTCTTCGCAATTGATTTATAAAAAACTCAGCCCCTGCGTACATGAAGTCGAAAAAGCATTAATATATGTGTTATAATATGTACTATTAGTCGTAGCTTTTTATTGTGTTACCAAAATACCAAACACGACTCATCATGTTCTGTGCCGAAAACTAAACAATTTATATTATAATAATTCGACGAAAACTATCAAAATCAGATCCGAAACAAAACGGAAAAATACTTAGTACATCTACGCAGGTTAATCACGCAGCTTATCAGCCCCGCAGAAGTAGCAGTCGTTGTTCTCTAACGGTGCAGCGTCAACGAATTTAGCTACAACGCGTCTTGCCCAAGCATAAACCAAAGCCTGGACATGGGAGAAGAGAAGACGATTGCCGAAATCTTGCCATTCGCGCATACTGTGACGCTCGCTGTTTCAGATGAAATGAACGACTTCATGAATACGATATATCAGGCTAACGATATTCACGTACGCATGAATAAGTATTCATGAAGAGAGAAATTGCGTCAGCATTGCCTCGCTAACTCATATAGGTTATTCATTACAACAGGATTCAGTAATAACGGAATTTTTATTACCCTGCCGCATCTTGTCTCACTTTTCATCTAAAACACCATGGATTCCAATTAACATAAATAAGTCATACTTCTTTCCTTTATTAAAGACCCGTAAGTTCTAAAATATCCGACACAATTTTGGATCAATGACTTTTGTAGCACAAAATGGCGGCAAGGGTTCAATGGTTGCGATCCAGAACTCTGGGCAAAAGGCAAAGCTAAATTTATTGTAGGTAGTATATGTTTCATTGAAATTCGTAACAGTATTAGAAAACATTATATAATAAGATGAAATACCAGGTTGTTTCAATGTTTACTGCTGATTAATGAAAAAATACAAATAAGAAGTAAGAGGCACATCCTTTTATGCTCTTGCATTATATTTTATATATAAACCTATTGTCGAAAAAGGTGATATGTCGATGCTTTAGTTTCTAGTGTTTTTTATTTGGTTAATGGAAAACTTGGACGTTAGCGAGCCGAGCAAAACGGAGTTTCAGATGGGAAAAGATGCCAAATTTATTATTAATATTTTCAAAGACAATCAAACACTATATTATTCAGTAAATATAACCAAAATATCAATATTTCGTTAATAGCTTCTTTCCACCCCGCAGCTGCGTCGAAATATTACGCGAAGGCCATTCAGTTTCATCGGTGTATGTGCGACGCGTTCGCTGGGTCAAAAACACTAGATTAGGGAATAATTTTTTGCATGTAAACCAGCATAAAAAGAGAGAGTATGAAAATGCATGTCATATGCTCGTGCAGAGTCCCAGTTTGTTGGTCTTAGAGAAGTGCATTGCATATGCATGATTAGTGAGCTTTCATGCGGGCTGCCGGCCTCGTATTCGGCCAGTCTCACTTATGTAGTCTTCAGATAAGTACGTGAAAGTATGTCTCAGCCAAAAAAGATTAATCTTATTTGGCAGCTCACGCGGTACATTAGGCACTTCTTTATAATTTATCGTAAACTCAGTGCGGCATCATACTGTGCACTTTCTGTAAAGTTCTTAGCTACGATAAACCAAAGTTTCTGTCTATGAGAGTAGTTCTCGCTTATGCTTCAATTTTTCGTTATAGAGTTCGTTGATGCGAGAATTTGGGATAATATCAGTCAGCTTACTATACCGAATGGCTTCAGTACAAACAGGTGAGAACATTCGTTTTCAATTATCATGTTATTGATCTCGTTTTCTTTTTGGAATTAGAATATTAAACACATTTTTTCAAAATGGTCGAATAATTACCAGAACTTAAAATCGCATTTCTTTTTATCTGCGATCACAGAATGTTGCGCGACTTCTTTAGCGCAACTCGAAAAATTTTCAACGGGCCCCACATCAGATTATCAGAGCATCCCCGTCTCATCAGGTGCTCATGAGAATTATTCTGGCCTAGACACCTCATGTTCTTCCCAGAGTGCGTGGTACCCTATGAAGTTCCCGATGCTGGAAAACACTGATATCCGTGGCAGCACCATTGATGCAGTTATACCGTACAACTCGCACGTTTACGACAGCCATGATGGGTCCTTGCTTGGTCATCCTGTGGCTACAGCTTCTTCATCCTGGGACGCCCCAGGCTGCATTGAGCGGGTCAAGCGACGAGGACGTATCAAAAGGCCGATGAATGCCTTCATGGTGTGGGCTAAGACTGAACGCAAAATTATGGCAGATGAGAACCCAGGACTTCACAATGCAGATCTTTCGAAAATGCTCGGTGAGTTTTCACTGCGATATAGCAGTTTATTAGCTCTATAAAGGACAATGCACCGAAAATAGTCGTAAGTCTTTCTAATCAATTCCAACAGCAATAGAATACTAAGTAGCAGTATTAAATTTTTTCTAATACAATGTAGTTGAATAATTTTTTGAATAAATTTTAGTACTTAAGAAAGCAGGTTGTTAAAATCAGATGAATTAGAAGAAACTGTGAAGATGAGCAAACTTTTATGAACTTATAGACAATTCTTGTTTTTTCCGAATAAAAAATTTCGACAGTAAATAATTTCTCACGTTTCTCAAATCTCGGAAAGTAGAAAAAAGAAATAAAGAAAGAACGGTAGAATATAGAAACTGTGGAAAAACCGACAGAATTTTTATATTTCCCACGAGTTTGTTCATGAATACGTTAGCAAAAATACTTCAGCAATTGTCGTAGGTGCAGAATAGGCATTATTACAATGTATGTTGACTAGGCAGCGTTCAGATCATAAAGCAGTGAACTCTGTGGGGTTTTGAAAGTGAAGGGATTGGCAATTTCGTGAGAGAGCGCGACTTAGCAGCAACCAGATAATGAACGCAGGAACCTGCCGGAACTTATCGAAGAAAGCGAAGTTTCCCTCAAGGCTTCCGGCTGAAGTTACACGGTGTTAAGTTTGCCTAATGGTGAATAACTAACAAGGATATGGTGAAACGCTCACTAGAATTAGGAATAACTGACTAGAATGCCGAATAACAAGCTAGGGTGTTGAAACTAACTAGGATGACCCATGACCAACTAGGGATACGGTCAATAAACTAGGATGGAAGGTGACTTACTAGGAGGGTGATTGGTGAATGATCAACTAGGGTAGTAAATGACTAACTAGGCTGCTAAATGACTTACTGGGATGGAAAATGTCTAACTACGGATGCGAATTACTCACTAGGATGAGGATTAATAAACTAGCATGTAGAATAGAAAAACAAAGAAAAGAACAGAGACAAAGAAAATTTTTGAATGACATTCATGGAGGTAAATTAACTAACTGTAGGACGGCAATTTAATAAGTAGGATGGTGAATAACAAAATAGGAATGTTAATAATTTGGATAGAAAAATTTCTGCGAAATATGTGAGATTTTTTTTTCTTGTAGTTGGAAGATAGAAATACATCATAAATTCTTTACAGATCTGTTGGCTCTTAGAATATTTTTGATTACGATTATATTAGGTGGCAGTTGCAGTCATATTTTCCCGTACGGAAGTAAATTCAGAAAAGAATCGTAAATTCATGCATCCTAAATTGTATGCCGGGTTCACATGGACTGTAATTCAGTATTTGATAAAAAGCTGGTGGTGTGAGTAGGAAATTATTTTCGAAAAATCACGAATACACACGAAAATTAAATATCATTTGAACACTGCTTCCTGTTTACACACATACATATTTGAATAAATTTAAACAATTACTACTCACAATGGAAACAATCGCTTCATAAAATCAATTAGCGGTTTTCCTAGAATGTCGCAGTTGTGGATATCTAGAAAAACCTGTTAGAGAAACTTGCGTGCACGCGTTGCGTAATCTCGCGTTACGCTAGTCACTCGGGCGTAAGAGCGCAGTGACTTTACGCTTCATTGATTGTTTTAGAGTTTTTCTTTATATCAAGAGTTTTATGAAATTTTATGGCTAAATAAACGATAGAACGCTCACTTTATTCCTCAAGACAATGATAAATTTAGATTTCGACTTTTTCATACTTGAAAAGATTTATGAATGGGAATTTTTGGCGGAATATTTTTATCTAAAAGTAACCAAAAATGGTTCATAAATGAAGTGAACAGATATGACAATAAATAATTTGAATGCACGTTGACATGCAAGAGACATGAAAACAAAGCTCAATTGTTTTGAGCTGTTAAATAAATAGAAATGGACGTCAACTGAGTTCTTCCAACACATAAAGCCATATTGTTTCTATTACAGGATCTCAGTTGCAGTTTATAAATTCAGTTAAAACATTCAAAATTCGTGTTGTTAACTATACATGAAGTTCTAACGTTCAGAAACTACAAATTCTTGAACCACTCGTTTTAGAAACGAGTTAACGAAATTATCGTAAGATTTCTGATGTAAATGAAATATATTATCCCGTCTATCAGGGGTAATAAATTTTAGATGCCCAAAGTATGTTAGGACTTAAGAGCGCTTTAAAATCTCATGATGAGCTTCAAAATTGGCAGAAGACGTGATAATGTAATATGGCTTGGCAGTACCGTGGATTTTTCATGAATCCTGTGATGTGATATTGAAATAATAATTCGTGAATTAGCTACGGCTTAATAATGGTGATTGAGTGGTCATCTTCTGACTAAAATCAGTGTTATAAAAGGTAATGATACAATTAATATATATACAATTAATATATTAATAATATAATAATATATGATCAACTTAACTGTATTCTTTATAAAATAGAACAGAATAGAACAGACGTTTGAAACCTTTTTGACGAAGGACAGTAATGAATATCCCAACCGACGTGTATGGTTCGTCCTGGTAATTTGACCAGTTATTTCATTCTGGAAGGCAAATGGAAAAAAATTGATTCAATAAACACTTTGTTATGGAAGGGGTTATATATAGAATGATCATATTTATTTAAGCTTTCTTGTCATTCATTGGGCTTAATAAATAAATTCGTTTACACGCTGATATGAACTGAAACTTTTTGCACATTTCAAGTTACCATATGGCGCCATGCTGATTTAAGAAATCTACAGATTCAGTCATACTAAAATACACAAATTTTTGTCAGACTTCCAAGCTAGTCGTTCTGGGCAGACTTTGCTTATTTTTATTTGAAAGCTAGAAAGAGAATTGTGTGTCGTCCTGAGGGTATTAAATTGATGATGGAGTGGTCAATCTAAAACATTTCGTGCATGATTCAATAATTCAATGAAGTAAACTGTATGAAAACTATAAAAATGGAAGCTTTTTATTTGGAACAGAGAATGATACGTAGGAATGCGTCAAATGGTCAACGCCCACTTAAAGCCAATAAATTTGAACAAGCAACTGCACGTAAGCAGCAGACTGACTGATTTCAGACTAGGAAGAAATCTGAAGAAATTCTGGAAGCTACTAATCGAGGGCTGTTAGTTTTCCAGAAGAGTATTCTGCTGAATAGTGAATTCTTTGTAGCTCAAACGATCACTTACATTCGAAGTTTTTTTTTCAGGTTCCGCTGATTCGTGAGCTTATTTTATCTCAATTCAGCAAATCACGATTCGGCAGTGAAGTTGTGGCTCTTGCACCACACGCAGAGTGTACAAATATTCGACATTGTATCGATAATTTACGGATAATTTTTTAGGATAAAAATAAACTCTGGAATCCATTTGTAATATATTATTATTTTAATTGTGTTCCACAATATTTTATGAACCTATTCATAACTATTTCAGATAAATAATATGCAACAATTCCCGATGTTATTAGCCAAATTATTTCATGAATCCAAAATTTTGATTCCGACAATACAATCAGAATTTCTAGTTTTATTTTGTTTATAGTTAAAACCAAAATTTTGAAAAAATACCTACTGCCTTTTCCTACATCTCTTTATTACTTCCCTTCCTTACTTGCCCTCTCTACTCCTTTCCCTTTTTCTTGTATCAACGTAAATAATTACATATGAATTAACCCTTCAGAAAATTCATCAGAAGCTGATGTATTGAGAAAACTGATGTGAGTGATGTTGGACAGGCAAGAAATGGAAATCGTTGCTGCCCTCGGCACGGCGCCCCTTCATCCAGGAGGCAGAGCGTCTACGAGTGCAGCACCAGAGCGAGCACCCTCACTACAAGTACAGACCCAAGAGGAAGAGAACTGCCAACAAGAAGCCCGTCAGCGTCCTGCCTACTGCTGCTCACACGGTCACTTCTAGCTCTTTCAGTAACCTCGGTGAGCTCGTGCATCGAGATCACTAAAATAAACCAGACGCAAGGTTTTAAGGTAATAATCATTTTTTACCATAATTTCAGTTTTTAGGCAGCAATTTCCGTGGTGAATTGATCCAATACGTAACTTGACCCATCACTGTAGTTACTAGTGCTACTGAAGCAACGGAAATTGTTACTAATACCGTAATACATCACTTTAACTGCTACTCTGACAATGTCAGTGGAAGTCTGAAACTGTAAAACCGACACTTATAGCTCATGATGAAACAATGTTAACGATGTTCAATCACAGTAGTGTTGCGGGTCAGTTCCCAACATACGAGGTGTGTTTTTTAAGTAAGTACCGTTTTGACATAAAAAAAACAATCAAATTAAAAAAAAACATTTATTCACTTGAAAGGTCATACGCTTCTTTTATACATAATTTCCATTATTTTAAAGCATTTATCGTACCTTGGGACCAGCTTTTGGGTGCAATCTTCAAAGAAGCTTGCCGCCTCATCAGACAACATTTTTGGCGCCTAGCGTGAACCCAGTTTCTGACAATTTAAAAGTTAGGACACTATTTCGCTAAGAACACTTCTTCAGACCGCGAGAAACTTTTCAGTTAAAGACAAAATCGGGAGGGAGTCGTCTGTTCTCTATCACTTTACAGTCTACTTTTTAATCAGATTATCGGTAATGACTGAAAGCCTCCCATTTCGCTACTCATCATGAATATATGTGTGGCCATCTTAAAAGTCCCTAACCCACTTCCGCACCATTCTACTATTCCTAATGTTTTCACCGTACACTTCACTGATTTGGGAATGAATATCAACTGATTTGAAGCATTGAGTATAGAGAATTGCACGCACTTCGCAGTCGGCGGATTTTCAATAGACGGAGGTATTTTAAATCACGTAAACAGATCGGATGGTTTCGCAATGGTGTCTGTGGCTCTCAAACAGATGTACCTAAACATAGCATATGCGCTAAACGGCGACTGCGGCGCTGCGGTGGCGTAGTTTATAAACTGTACTTACTCCAAAAACACGCCTCGTATACAAATAGAATATAAATCAAAGCTAAGGGCATTACCAGTTCCTTTACAGTATCCTGAGCTTCCAAGGCTTACCCGCTACTCAAAGTGATCATGGGAGGTACGGCTGAAAGGTAATCGACTAAACATAGGAAAGGGATTCAGCATTGAATAGGCATAAAATTAATGACAAATTTAACAAAATTCACGTGACACGAGGTAGAAGTCACTCCCAACGCTGATTTTTGCTGCCCTCGGCACGGGAATTACCGAGGGAATTAAAAGGAATTGGAGCAAATGCTGCTCATTCTATTTGTGACTAGCGTAAAACTGGACAACCAAAAGACGACAGAAGTGCGCAGCTACAGAAGACCCATTACTGTAAATACTTAAACTGTTGTATCGGTAACTTATCAAGATATACCAATTACCAAAACTAATACAGCAAAGCTCATGGTACCTAATATGTCATAAACATTAACCAGTTGCGTGTTTGAGTTAGAACTATTATTGCCTTATGTGCGTTTCCGAAAATTTTACATGGTTCGAACTTTTTAAATACGAGCTGGCTGAAGCTATTTGTTCCAGTGTATGTCTATCTACGCCATATTTTACAAGAGTGAAACGATCAGTATATTCTGATTTTTTATGAAATGGTTTTACATATAAATATTATTTGTAGAGTACACAAATTGATGAAAAAGACACGTGGAACTTAATTGACTCCACTACTACACTAAATTCTACTACACTCTCCGCTATTTTCACTCGCTCTACTTCAAAGCTTTACAAATTAGAAAAACCTTACTTCACTTAAAATAATTAACATTACGTAAGTTCCAACTACAATTACGTTAATAGAAAACTATTTAGAAGTTCTCTCACCACTTGTACGGCATTATAATCTTACCGCCACACGTCGCCGCTCTTGCTTCGCTTGATTGGCATGACGTTAACGCACGCGCTGCTGCTACACGTTTTTATAGGAGGTTTTATTCGTACTGCTGAGTGCGTCACACACTCGTCTATATCCTGAACACTTCTCGTAGATGATGTACGTTGATGAGATAAATGCACACCGTGAAGTACACGCACACAGTGGCATACACATACACGAACTCACAACACTTTCACTCTTCAGTCTCTGCTCAAGCGAAAAATTTTTGTGCGCGACTATCGAACACTTGATCGTTGACGTAATTTAAAACATAAAAAGTGTCGGTTGTTATAATTATACAAATTTCCTGACTTATGTTACTTTTTAACTAAAAACTTATGGCAGCAATAAATGTCCTGTAAGAACTGCATATCTTTTATCATTTTTAACGTAATAATGCAAACGTCTCTCATTTATTTAGTTTTAGAAATGAAATAAAGTGCAGTGCACCTTGTATGCATTCAAGAATTCAACTTCGAAAATACATGGATTTGATGTTGGGACCATTCCGAAACTTATCAATGAGTCAGATGGGTTTTTCTACGTGTTTAGATGTTTCAATTTTTTCTGCTTGAGGAATTATTCATGCAATTAAATGTAAAGGCAGCAATGTAATGATTTTTAATTGGTAAACATGTTGATCAAAAAATGGAATTATATTGGAGTGAAGCTATCACTTAAAACATTATATTCATCTAATACTCGAGTTTTTCAACTATTGCTCCTTGTATCAGGTCTGCCTTGCTCTGTGGTGCCTCCAGATGACAAGTCGTCACGCAACCTTTCAGCCAATGAAACTCTTCCATCAATTTACCGAGAGAGGGTCCAAGCTACTTCCCGCGCCCCAAACGAGGGCCAGGGAGTTGGGATGACCACGTCTACCCTTTCGTCTCCACTGGTCGGAGCGTTAAAAGGACTTTCGGCAATCAAAACTGTGCCACATGACAACATACGAGAAAGCTCTACGGCATCAAGCATGCTTCAGTTTCACAGCGACCAATATTCTAACAGTATGGACGATAGGCCCCTGGTCGCCATGCGGGAGTGGCTCGCGGTGACCAGGGGGAGTCTTGGTGCAATGCGGCGCCACGGATGAAAAAATCATCACTTAAATAGCTCTTAATAAGCAGTCAATACGGTTCCTCATAAAGTAACGACGTTGTTTCCAGTCACTTTGGAAATACCCACTCGGCATATCCACTTGAATAGGAGACAACGGATAACTAGTTCTTGTTCTTTTTTAATAAAATCCAATTGTCGTTAATCTCAATAACGGCATCGGTAAGCGCACCCAATCTAATTATTAATGCACAGCAAAGTTCTCTTCCACGAATTTAATCATGAATAAGGATATAAATGATATTATAACAATTACTCAAGAAAACTGTAAAATTCACTTAAAATCAATTTGAATTTTCCAGATTTTGAGGAGTCTCTGAGGTGGTGTCTCTTAGATAGTTTTTTTTTATCTCTGAGGAGTTGTCGTCGGATCGGAAAGTACTCGTGCATTAAAATAATTTCCCGTCTTCCTATATGTGATTAGCTGATGAAACTGTTACATATGCATTTGCCTTTGAATAATAACGTGAATTAGTCATAATGCATTGAAATGTTGTAACTAATTCATTCTTATTCTGCCAGGTGATTTTTATTCTATCGGCAACACACCTGTGGATCACCTGAAGTCGATGTATGAACGAACTCAGTTCATGCCTGCCGCGTACGACTGCCTCCAGAACATCGTGGCCTCGGTCAACCCTTGTCTTTCTTACGCCGACTCACCCGAGCTGCCGTCACCTCCCATCGACAGTAGCCGGAGAGATGTCGCATCACTGGATATGAAGTCTCTTCATATTGCTGGTCAGTAATCGGCATTAAATCATTTGAAAGACGAAGGAAATTAGCATGAATTAAATTGAAATCACTGTAGACACTTCTATGAGATTTAACTCACAAAATTTGATCTGTAAACACATCTTATATAATGTATTTTTTTAAGGTAACGAAGCAGTCTCACGCAGCAGTGTGGAAGGTGTCTCAACATTTTGCTTTCCGAAAGTCGTCGTCGGAGCTGATTCCTGTGCAAATGGGTGTGTTATTGATTATAAAAAAATTGTGTGGTACCACCAACATATATATTCTATGTTAGAATCACCAGGACTGAGTTTAAATTTTAACATTAAGTGTGGAATAATTTGGTGTTCAAATTTTCTTAAGTTAAAGAAGTATCACATAGATTGAAGGTATTTTTTCATTAAAAGAGAAGAAAAAATTAGCGTGATGTTATTTTGATTTGAATTGGGCGAAAATATATTTGCTCTTTTGTGTTCATCTTAATGTTCAGATATAAATGAATTTTCGTCAAGCATATAATGGGACTAAAAGATCGAGAGCCATGCTAAATCCTTTTAACATCACTAAGTTCTCAGAACCTCGGTCTATCTTCATCACAATTTCGCCGTTTGGTTTGCTTTTAAATTTTTGGTGAATTCGCGATTATAACAGAGTAATGAAACAATTTTTTTCCATTTATCGGAATGGGACCACATAATACATCGAAAAGCAATCCTTACTACATGCTCGTTAGAGTACCGTCCATGTCGACAGGCAAGCATTACCAAAAATGACGGGAGTGCAGCCGTGCACCACAAATTTTGTGCACCAATTAGCGCTGAATAGAACGCCTAGCATTTTTCCGTAAGGCTATCAATCAGCCGCGTATTAATCATGCCGTTAGTAACCAGCCCATGACATCATCTTGCTTTTAATATATAAAGTTCTACGCCACTATATTCTGAAGCGAATAGCCGAGAGTGTAATGATCGTCCACCACTGAACGTTGCATCGAATCATCACTTCATACCCTGACTTTAGCTCGAACTGTAACCAGCGGACAACGGACTGCGACCAATCAGCCGAGTATCAGCGGAGTACTGCATGAATCCTGCTGTGCACCACCTGACTGATGATCGAACATGACTTCCGACGCTTCGTTAAATTACGTAACTTTTAGCTCACAGCATCAGGGGGTAGGATTCAGATAGCATAGTTCTGTTTCAAAATCTATTGTACATCGACGAGTGACTTCCGGAGCTTCGTTAGATTACGTAACTTTTGGCTAACAGCATCTGGGGTTGAGTATCAGATAGCATATTTCTGTTCCAAAATGTATCGTCCATCGACAAGCCGCCGTTCGACTGTGAGCTGATTTTATTCAAAGGATGAATACGGACGGGTCGGTGGCGGTCCTCATATATACTGCAAGGCTCTGGCGCGCTGTGTCCGAGTGGTGCAGAATTTTTTCGCGCACTGGCAGACGATTCTGGGGCAAACTGTTGCCTGCTGTTTTCCCTGTGGCCTGATATAGCTATTTCAATGGATGTGATCTGTCCTGTGGTTTGCAGCTGATAATGTGCAGTCCGGAAGTGTTTGAGGCTACGTTCTTGTGGGAAGGTATCATGGTGGTCCATCCGAAGCAAGGGAGTGGTAGTCTCCGACAGGCATCCTGAAATGACTCGGTTCTTTGCTGTCCATTTGTTGTTGGCTGTTCATTTAATGCCGTCACTGAGTCATATGGTGGAATAAAGCGTGCATCGCCTTCTTTGGTTCATAGCTTCATTTGATGGGTTTTAGGATTGAGGTATTTTCTAGTGATACACACTGTTCGAAAAACCGCGAAAACGGTCTCGCCGGTGTTTTAGTAACCGTCCGTCCCACTAACATAACTCTTCCGCCGTTTTTTTCATATGTTGTACGGATTTCTGGGATTAAATTGGAATAAAAAGGCCACATGTTGTTTTTTTTCACGTCCCGCCCGGTCGCTGAAACGCCGGTATTACCGTTTATCGGTGATTTTTTGAACAGTGTAATAGCTGTCGTTGTAAAAAAGCTACTTTCGCGAAAAGCTACAAAGTGCGTCGCACTTTGAACTATTTTAAATAATTTTCAGTCATTTCCAATTACTACAACTGAATTAAAATATACGTAGCTGTAGCTTTCATAAAAAAAATTAAGACTAAAGAGAAAAATTGCGGGTGATAAATTGTACGAATAATTCACGCGGAAAGACTTCGTCTTGACACGTTCAGTCCGAGACCAGAGGCCGTTCATATTCTGCAACGAGCTAAAGGACAATTACTAAGCATTTGTTTAAGAATAATGTATAATCCCAATTAATTATTATACTTGTTACGAATATTTGTGTTGACCTCTTCCACAAATCTTCCAGCTAAAGTAAATCCTCATTCACTCATTCAACGATGAAAATGATTCATAATGAATTTTGCAATATATTCATTAAAAGTTTTTTGTGTCACTTACACACGTTGGTTGTATGTATTATTATTTATTTGAGTAATCACGCTTTATTCAATGTTATCTCATTCATTTGGAGCAACACCTCTTGCTCAAGTGATGTAATTAACTATCAATAACCTCGATCGTTCAATAATTCATTTTACTTGTATTCCGCAGGTCTAAACCAAGGTTGCCTCCTGAGCAGCAAATTAGTCATCCCATCCCACATCAGGTGCTATAAATTTTATATAACTGCATGAAAGCCGCCAATAAATTTCAATAAATATCTGCTTTTATATATAATTCGCAATTTATACAAACTAAAATGCAATTAAACTCGTGTTCGATTAATGTTTTCTGAAAAAAAGAAATCAATATTGCATATATTAGAGTTTCAAAATTTGTCACAATACACGTGAATCTATCCGTTTGTGATGGAATTTCACGTGTATTGTGTTTGTGTTGGACCATTCTAATATCATTGCTATTTTTTCACAGATCCAATCTAGTAGTAGAAATGGGCACCAAATTCATTCTCCCGAAACAGTGCACAAGTTCCCTCTGTTGCCGTCTTACAGCAATTCTTTTACTGCTCCCACAGCAAGCGAATCGTCAGGCTATGACTTTCTCAATGAAGTTTACATATCACAACCCAATTCTTCAGTAAACGTTCCCATCAATTCGCTAGCCAGCAATTCACTTGGCGGATTTACAAATGGTCCCTACACTGCAAATTCTCCAATTAGTTTACCAGTGGCTGGTGCTTCAACGGCTTTCTTAGAGGTTCCCGTCGGTTCCAAGTTGATGACTGTTTCTGCTGGTTTGGATGGAAGTACTTCAAGTCACACAGCTTTCTGGGATAACTCTAGAGGAAAACCCCAAACGCACCTTCACTCGGTCCCCAACTTTTCTGCGACTGGAGATAATGAAATTGCAGATTTTCAGGCGTTAAGGGAAACGGAGTTTGTTCTTCAGCATACGATTTCATCTTCCTGCAATTCTTCAGTTCAATCACCCCAACACCTCCCATCTCAGTTGCACGTGGATCACAATCTGGTGATACCTTCCGTGTCATCAGTATTCCCTACAACGGGTACATCTTTCCCGATTTCTCGTGGAGGATGCAATCTGACACCGCCATCACCCGTCGTTGGGCACGTTGGAATGGGTCATGGGCGCGTAGTTGATGCTCCATCGGAAAATTTGAGTCGAGAATGTCCAATGGTTGCATCCAAACCTACAAGTATATCATTGCATGATTTCCTATCGCACGAAGAAACAGTTATAGCAAAGTCACAGTTAACAACCAGGAACCAAAGCACTTCAATGCATTCAGAAATTGCATGTGAAAATTTTGGTTGTTCACCTTACAACCAGTGCAACGTTGTGCACACAAAAATTAGGGACGAGAATTTTATTACGAATAAATTGAGTTTAAACGGCTGCAGGAGCAGAATTGAAGTGGCAATGCCTGTGATGGAAATGAATTCAGTTCCCTTCATAAATGATCCACTACTTTCAGCAAGCTCAAAGAAGTTCGGTTCCGAAGATGACTTAGCCTTTTCTCATTCCTCACTTAGTTACAACGGTGACAGGGATAAATTATCAGCAGTCAGTCATTCGTTTCCCACTAGTTCAACTGCAACATGTTCATCTTCAACTGCATATTTTAGTGATGCCAACGAAATTGCCGTTCAACGGACGAATGAAGAAAGTGTCGGGACCCACGAACGGAGTGCAGGTGAGAATTTGGATTATACCTGGTATCTAAATTGTTTGTTTCCCACACTTTGAGTTTCCAAAACAAAACAAAACATAACATAACATAACATAACATAACATAACATAACATAACATANCAGATTCGAACGAAATTTTGAATTTGCAGTCCTAACTACCAAACGGTAATGTTTAGTTCGTGAAAATTTTTCTCGATTGTGCCTTCGTTCGCGAGTTTTTTTTTTCATTTCACATTCATTCGTGATTTAAACAGCAATACATGCTTAAATTCGCAGTAATCAAGAAATTCCTTCCAAAACTACTGAATGGATTTGAACGAATCTTAGTATTTAAATACCTAACCTCAGCAATGGTGATGTTTAGCTTGCTACAATTTTTTCGTTTTGCCTTCGTTTGCGAGTTATACGGCTATACGTATACGGATATACGTAAACGGCTCTTTCTTAAACCGGCCGGTATAAAAGCCGGTCGTTCCTCCTATATATCTGAATAATTCGCGAACGAAAACAAAATAGAAAAATTGTCGCAAGCTAAACATCACCGTTGAGAGGTTAGGTATTTATATACAAAGTTTCGTTGCAATCTGTTCGGTAGATTAGAAGAAATTTCTTGATCGCCGCGAATTTAAGAGACAAATTATCCGGCGATGCGGGCCGAATATAAGGAAGTATGAAATCAAGAATGACTGTGAAATGAAAAAAAAGCTCGCAAACTTAGGTAAAATAAAAAATTTTTAATAGCCCAAAAAATCAACGCTTGATTGTTAGGAATGTATATTCAAAATCTCGTTCAAATCTGTTTAGTAGTTTGGAAGAAATTCTTTGATCACTGCGAATTTCGGCCTTTATCGCAATATAACTCACGCATGAAGGTGAAATTTAGAAATTTTTACGAGCTAAAAATCAACGTTAGGTTCTGATAAATGTATGTTCCAAGTTTTCTTTAGCTGCGTTCATTAGTTTGGGAGATATTACTTGATAATTGAATTTAGAGATTGGTCGTGCGACTGGCCACGAGTCCGGCCTTGAATTTGCCCGAGACGTCCTACGTTCCTAGTGCTGAAACAGTTAAAACAGCTTTAAAACATATTGGTTCACTAAATGGGGTTCTATTTGTGAAATACACATTTGTGTTTAACATTTATCTATTAAAATTGCAGCGTACTAAATTTCAAGAAAGAGGCGTATGTTTTTATATGTGTCTGTGGGGGGCGCTAGAAGTTCACTAGGGAGCCAAAGGGGGCGCCAGCCTGAAAAAGTTTTGGAACCACTGATCTAGTCTGTTCTTTCTTAGGAATAATTGGTGTGGCATATTCATGTATTTCATGCATGTTTTGCAGGCTCATTGTGCATCGGCGATACTACATACACCTATGGCCAGCAACACATTTTCGAAGATTTCCAGAGAAATGACGGATTTCATAAATCCGAACCGTGCCTTAACGCGATACTGGAGGCAAACGTAAGCTCAAGAAATTTTGAAATTCGTGCAAATTCTAATAAAACTCTGGTCCCCTTGCTCTCTTACAATGAAGAAAAATATGAAACTTACAACAATGGCTATCCCGTGACGAATTCGATTGAACATTCCTGCTCATCGAGTGAGTTGTCAACTTCTTCTTCTTGTTCTTCTAATGGCGGTTACAAGATGTCTCCTATGACAGTTCCAGAGCTTTCTGCTTCAAATGCCTCCAACTCCAACGTTGACAGAAGAGAGGTAAATATGAAGGCCCAGAAACATAACAACATAATGGATTGCTGCGCTCCAAGACAAACGTATGAAGACATAATGAAAGTTTGGGAGCCTTCAGAGTCGTCCGAGCCCACGAGGTGTCTTCCTGAAACTTTCAGTGGCGAGGCTACTGATGGAAGTCTTTTCTCTGTTCTTGCAAGTGCTCGACACCACATGTACTACGACAGCTCAACCCTCATGTGAAACAAACTACAAAATAGAATTTTAACGTCTTTAATAATTACAATTATTGGCACTCTGCGACATGGTGATTATATCATTGGCATTTAGATGGAAAAATTGCCTAAGTCAAAAGCTTACGTCTTCAGTACATTGAGATAATTTCGATTTTGCACACTCCAGAAGTTATTGATAAACAAAATTTTTATGGCGTGTATCATGACAAGGAGTTCCAACGCCATTAGAAACATACTGTTGAGTATAGCTTACAATAAAATATTTTTTGCCTCTTTGTGGTGATTAAAATCTGTGCAAGTCTGCGATGGAAGATGGAAACGGGTATTTTGATGCATTGAGGTCGTTTTGAATGCTGAAAACGATGTGGCTAGTGGGTAACACACCATGGTTATGCGCACGCATTGTAAGTATATTGAGATCAGCATGAGTTTTTATGTGAACCTAATTTAAGTTTATGATGGAAAACATACGAGGTAATGTGAATGTAATTTAAGTGTATGATTGCATCATACGTGACTATATGTGTACGAGCTCTAATTGTAAGCCCAATGGGCAGGATAGATGGTACATACAATGGTTGATGTTAGGTACAATGGTTTAAAGCTGCCAAATATTTTTAAGTTTTACTAATAGCTTGTGTCGTCTTCCAGCTTCTTAATATGCATTGGTTGAAAACACAAGTAAAGAGCATTATTAGATATGCTAACGTTTATTCAATTATGAATGCACTGTAAAAATGGATTTCCAGCGCACCATGTGTGTAATCACGTGAATTCTATAACATTTTACAGTATATTAAAAAAAACTGTAAGTATTGTGCAACTGCAAGTATGTGTGTAACTACTAACTACAGCACATGGGTGATAATAATATGCGCATTTAGGCCGCTTATAGATGGCCCTGTCGACACGATGCACTTTTGCTCTTGTGTGGGTCATCCTGACTCAGTTTGGCCGGGCTAAAAAGGGCATCAGCAAAAAGAGCGTACGTTTACATTCTGAGCGTCATATTAGGGTAGGAAAATGTGTCAACATTTGAACTACACGGCCACTTAATTTTTGCATTGTATGTAGGGCAAGGGTTGACATAACACGCTCGCTTGAGGAGTGAGGTTAATTGTAAGAACTTTTTATTCGTAATTTCTCACCTAACAAAATTTATGTTGATGATGGAAGCTATAGTGCGCTGGATACATTTGGAGACGGAAGCTAGTGACCTGGGGCCATATTTTCAAAAAAAGCTAAGAGATCGTAAGTTCATTAGCCAATCATTGACGGCCTTTCAAGCAAACTCCACCAATCACAGACAAGAAAATAGAGCGTAAGTACTTACGTTAACTTAGCGAGTAAAGAAAAATGGCCTCTGGATATATAGTGCTTGGTGTTTTTACATCTTTGTAAGCCGGTACATGTAAGAGTTGCTGCCATGAAGCTTCCCAAATGCATAAACGCACACAAAAAGCTAGCTTAGTAATGTTTTGCTTTTTCCACTAGCAATACAAGGGTGAAGGGTATTAAGAAACGTTTCACTTCTTTGTGTATACATTACTTGTGTATGATATGCGCAATGCGTCAAAAGAAAATTACCAACTTTTTTTCTAGGAACAATAGAAAGGGGAAAATATTTAGAAATACATTGATTCTGTGAAGTTTTCAGATGAATATTTTACAAAATTCTTCAGAGTAGAATTAGAAAGAGTAGCTTTTTTGGTAACAATAAAAATGTGTCACGCGTTTCCTGATAATAGTACAAAGAAACATTCAACTTTTACTGCACACGAACGATACGTGAAATTATCAGCCGTATCTTTAAATAAACTTAAGTGAAATTTTTGACAACCGAGAGACTGGATGATCAACTCTAATAACGTAACTTTCTGCACATGCTGAGATTACGAAAAGTTCTCGCCGAGAATTTGAAAAATGAAGAATAAAAGGTTAAGTTAGGGTGAATACAAATAACTTCATCTATATTTGAATGTTGTTTCTTTCGTTATCGGGCTTAAGTGATATTTAGTGTTAAGAAATTACATTAATAAGGTAATTATTTAGAAATTTAGTCATTCATCCGATTGGAAAATTTGTGACCTCCTCACATTGAGCAGTCATGGAATTATATTGAACAAATATCTGATTTAAGGGCTCGAATTGCTGCCTCATTTTCGAAGTGAAAATGATATTATTTAATATAATCTTAAGGAATATTTATTTATTTATTTCTACATTGAGTTTATGCTTTACTAATGCGTATCAATACAAATATATATAAGCTGGAATAAAACTACTTTTTGTTCGATTTTATTATTTATTCTGACAAAACTTGAACTCATGCTCTAGACTGTATTGACAAACGCAGTTAAAAAACGAATTATATAAGTAAAGTTCATGGCAGCTTATATTAATGTTAATCATTATCCTTATAAGTAATAGAGTGATTAGTGAAAGAGTAAAGTCCTAGCCGATGTTTTCATTTATAATATTTCACCGTGTCATGAAAAATCAGTCAAATTTTTACTGTTCAGAATGACGATAATTTTTTCCTCGACAAACGGTATACCTGAAATTGAAATCCGTCGAAGCGAATTAAAATATAATTGTAAAAATGGGGTTTCCCTAAAGTTTCCACTCGAAACAGATGGTAATATAGTACAAAAATGTTGCACACTTTGACAGTATTTCTATCAGACTCCACTATGCAGTGTAGTCTGTATTTCTATTTGCTCATCACACAGTATTTCTATGTGATGAGCGTCAATGGCCCAGATCTTAACCTCTCATCCCCCGGCAAGCCTGCTACAATTTACGATGTCTATGAACATCTCTTTAGCGAGCCAGCCTTGTTTCCCATGTACAAGGGTGCACCTAACGAGCCTAATGTTAATGAGTCGATAGCTTAAGGATGAAGCAATTAGGCAAGGCTATGCCACCGGTGCCACCGTTCCATCACGACTGCCATATTGCTGCCACGCCACCCACCAAGACATGCTTCTTCAGAGCCTCCTGTTGCGTGCTTGGGCATCTTTTTCTTTGCATTATTATGACTATAATGAGCTCTGCCCAGCCCCTGACACGATGTGCTGCCTCAAGAGCTGCTCCCTAAATTCGTCAATACAGGGAAACTAGGCTATGGCTGTGAAATATGATGGCGATTATTCTTTATTATTTGCCAATAACGACGATTATTGTAGTCTTTGTTATGTTCCGTGTAGGTTTTCACTTTAAAAGGCCTTCAAAAAATTTTTAGATTCCAGGAAACTACAATAAGAATTATTCGGGTAATTTTCCGTATTACTGCATCCATAATGAGCCAAGCTGTTTCCCGACACGATGTACCCACACCGGGACATTGACTTTGTTTGAAGAATAATTCTCCTTTACTTATATTGCTGCCTCTTGTAATGAGCCATGCCTAGCTCTCGACAGATTTATTTGGGTATAATGCGAGTCACGATTTACTGGGATATTTTACGCGTCATGATTTACTTGGGTATAATATGAGTCACGATTTCTTGCGGTATTTTACGCTTCACAATTTACGTGCTTATAATACGCGACACGATTTACTGGGGTATCATAAGCGTCACGATTTATTTGGGTATTTCTCGCGTTACAGTTTATTTGGTATTACTGGAGTTAAGTGCCTGGTATTACGCGAGTTACAGTTTGCTTGGTATTACGCGAGTCACAGTTTGCTTGGTATTACACCAGTCACCGTTTATTGGAATTATGCGAGTCACAGTTTGCTTGGTATTACACGATCATGTTACAGTTTGCTAGTTATTACACGCGTCACAGTTTACTTGGTATTATACTAGTCAACAGATATGTAAAGTGTACTGAGCCTCGTTTTTGCAAGTTCAAATTATCAGAACAAAATTTCAACAGGCAGATTTTATTTTTTATTAATCAATACGGATACGTCTACATAAATTATTACCAACAATTGAAGTTGAATACTTCCATAATATATTTTTCATTACGAGTGACGTGCAAGCTGCCATGAAAAAAATTTCAACGAACTGTCACTTAACTGCTGCCTCGACAGACTTTCTTGTTGTTTTTTTTTTTCTAAAATTTTGAACAAACTAAAATTCAAGTAAACACGATATTCAATGACCAAAGTCCAAGTTTTTCATTGATTTTATTGAAGATTTTCTTTAGATTTCTTAGGCTTGTGATGAGACGGTCACTTCTCTGAACCTCACCGCATTGGCCGACAATAAAAATGCGTAGGGCTCCAATGGCACCCATGACGCCTGGTCGTTGCGGTCTTGAGTTACTGGCTCAGAACACCCACTGCCATCCTCCTGTATTCATATCAATTCATGTACGCAGAATTATTGCTTAGACTTTGAAATATCCACGACAACATAGGCCCATTTTCAGTGACTTAATTCATGCAATCTCAATTATGTACAAATGAGCATTAAAAACATCGAATTTATTTTTTTTATAACTCTAATTTGTTACTGATTTAAAATTTTTAAATAGTTGAGCTGCCAACTCAAGGAAATTTAGACAAAACACAAGCACCTACTATTGTAAGATAGTTGGACAAATCGGAACAAGACTAACTGTGGGGCAGCTGGACAAAGAAGCAACACCAACTGTCTAACAGTAGGACAAATTTATGCAACACCAACTATGGGGCAGTTGGACGAAGGAGTAACACCAACTGCGTAACAGTTGGACAAATAAGCATCACCAACTGTCGAACAGGTATTCGGACAAAGATGCACTACAAAATATGAAAGTTGAGATAAAAACCATACAAAATTGGAAATAGCGTGACTGAGAAGCTAAATTTAATGTCAAAAACCAGACTATATAGAGCAACATCAAATTTATAGGAGTTTGCCAAATATAACGTTAAATTGTCCTGAGTGTGACCTAAGTGCAACATCAAATGCCCACGCACAACAGCAGATGTGCAACAATTGGCTCACTTGGACTAACGGTTTACACAAAACAAAGAGCATCATTAATATGACGTACGAAAAATGGCAACCAATTGGGCCAGCGGGAAAAAACTCCAAATAAAAACATTTCTGCCTATTGAGGGAACCAAAAAAAAATATCCAAACATTAGTGTTTACTAAGCGGTCACGAGCGTGGCATTTTTGCCCCTTGTGCAGGAGACAGATGCTCAGGAAGACCACAAAGAATTAGCGTTCGGTGCACCGCAGAGGCTCTGGCTCGTGTTCTGGAGGAACTCAATTTGCGGCCGTCC